CCACAATTCATAGGCGTCAGTTCTTCGTCGGTCTTCCTTATTCATTGTCCAGCTTTTGCATGCATATGAGGCAACTGAAAACACCGTGGCTCGGGCCACCTTAGTCCTTAAAGTGGCATCTGTAGGTCCCAGTGAATAGGGCTGTCAGCATCCTCATTGTCGGTCATCATTGTCACCATCATGTTCTTTGGATGGTGGATGGCAGGCAGAGCCCACACGTGATGGCCCGTCTGACTCCAAAACCAGTGCCTGGTGATGCTAACAGCTGCCTCTACTGCGGCCGGAGCGGGAGGGGGTGCTCCAGCAGAATGAATGAGGCCCCCCACCCCTCTTCCTCTGCAGCCTCGAAGAGGAGGATCCCTGTGTCCCAGCCGGGCATGGCTGACCCCCACCAGCTTTTCGATGACACGAGTTCGGCTCAGAGTCGGGGCTACGGGGCCCCACGGGCACCCAGCGGCCTGGGCTACTCTGCAGCCTCCACTTCGCCCCAGGCGGCCTTCCTGGCCGATCCCGTGTCCAACATGGCCATGGCCTATGGGAGCAGCCTGGCTGCCCAGGGCAAGGAGCTGGTGGATAAGAACGTGAGTGGGCTGGGGCCGCAGGGAAGGGGCTGAAGCAGGAGGCCACGCAGCCTTAGGCTGGAAGCAAGAGAGAGAAAAGGGAAGTGGGGCTTGGAACCCAGTGGGCAGGGCCCAGTGCTGGTAACTTTTGGATTGAGGAGACCTGGGTCCGCCCCCCCAGATCGACCGCTTCTTCCCCATCAGCAAGCTCAAGTATTACTTTGCTGTGGACACCATGTATGTGGGCAAAAAGCTGGGCCTGCTCGTCTTCCCCTACATGCACCAGGTCAGCACCACCCTGTTCCTGAGGGAGGGCAGGGGGTAGGGGCTGAAGGGGAACACAGCCTTGGGGTGAGTAGCTTTGCTCCAAGGGAGGGCCTGTAAGCAGGGGAGGAGGAGCCCAGCTCTGGGGGTCCTGCCTGCCCCCCACTATCCCTGCAGGACTGGGAGGTGCAGTACCAGCAGGACACACCAGTGGCCCCCCGCTTTGACATCAACGCTCCTGACCTCTACATTCCAGGTTTCACCCCATGCACCCTTATCTCCACCCCCAGTCCCCGGCACCCTTCTCCCTCTGGGTGGGGAGGTTGGGACAGAGGTTTGGGTGCCTGGAGGCCCCAGGATGGTGTTTTGTTCTCTGTCTGCCTCCCACAGCTATGGCTTTCATCACGTACGTCCTGGTGGCAGGCCTCGCCCTGGGGACCCAGGACAGGTAAGAGGCCTGGAGCAGGTGGAGCTTGGTGGCTGAGGGGCAGTCAGGAAGGCCTCTTGGTTCCCCCGTCTCAGAACAGCCCCATCATCCTCCCAGTGGGCATCACCCTCTCCCCTCCCTTCCACGTGCAGCACATCGCCCCGCCCTGTGCTGGGTCACCTGCCACATCAGCCCTTCCTCTTGGCCTCCACCAGCAGATCCGTCTCATCCGTCCTCTCCTGACTAGCTGCCCACTCACCTCCCCTGCCCCCATTCCAGCAACAGCCAGGAAGAGCTTGTCTGCCATGCCGGCCTGGCCTCGTCCTGTCCTGCTTAGAAGCTGTCCACAGCTCCCCGTCCTGGTTCAAGGCCCAGCTCCTTAGCCTGGCACGGCCACCTGTGCAGCCCCCTCCCCCGTCCACTCTGCTTCAGCCACCCTGGTCCTTCCCATGTCTGAGGAGGGCCCGGCTCTGCCGCCCCAGGGCCTTTGCACACCCAGTTCCCTCTGCTCAGGAGTGTTCCCTCTGCTCCCCTCCATCACCTGCTGAGCCCTGCCCATTCATGATGTCTCCTCTGCAATGTCACACCTCAGGGAAGCCTTTCTGCTCCCCTGAGACTAGGTCAGGCCCCCTACTTCTCACTCAGAGTCCCCTGGCCACTTTCTTTGGGGCACGGAAAACAAACGTCATTAGAAGTACTCAGTTAATTGTTGAGGCTCAGGGGGTCTATCACGGACCAAGACAGACAAGGGCCCTCTGCCCTGACCAGCGCCCTGTTCCCTCAGCCTCAGCTCAGGTGTCCCGTCCTCTGGCAAGCCAACTCTGACCTTTCCGTGTGCCCCCCAGATTGAGTCAGGTGCCTCTCTGGGCTCCCATACCCCCAGAGCTTTCCTACCCGAGCCTGACTTCCCTGCCCCCCAACTCCCCTGTCCCGGCCTCCCCTCCCCCCACCACTCCGCCTACGCCTCCCCCTTCCCAGCTCCCTCTCCACCACTCCACCTCCGCCTATCCAGTCCCAGCCTGACCACCCCACCAACCCACCTGTGCCAGCCTTATTTCCACCCTGATCACTCTGGGCTGTCGGTAGGACAGGTCTGCTTCACCTCCTGTACTGGGATTTGGGTGAGAAAAGGGCCCCAGGCCATGTTCATCACTGCTGGGTCTCCAGCCCCACAGAGCTGGGCCCAGGAGGGTGCTTGCGGGGGGTCTGAGCTGGCCTGCTGGGTGACAGAGCGTGGGTGCCCGCAGGTTCTCCCCTGACCTCCTTGGGCTGCAGGCCAGCTCAGCATTGGCCTGGCTGACACTGGAGGTGCTGGCCATCCTGCTCAGCCTCTACCTGGTCACCATCAACACTGACCTCACCACCATTGACCTGGTGGCCTTCTTGGGCTACAAATATGTCGGGTGAGTGCTCCCGGTCCTCCCTGCCAGCCTGCTCTGGCCCGGGGCCTCGTCCTCAGACCCTCTCCCCAACCAGGATGATCGGCGGGGTCCTCACGGGCTTGCTCTTCGGGAAGATGGGCTACTACCTGGTGCTGGGCTGGTGCTGTGCGTCCATCTTTGTGTTCATGGTGAGCTGGGGGCCTGGGGGTGGGGGTGAGGCTGAGGGCAGAGGCCTGGGCAGGGACCTGAGCTAAGGGTTTCACACGGGGAGTTTAGACCAGAGCCTCATTGCCAAACTGAGGAGCCCTGGGGAGGGCTTCCTGCAAGAGGATGTGTCCAAGCTGGGGCCTGAAGGAGGGAAGAAGCTAGTTAGGGTGCAGAGGCAGGGGGTACCCAGCCAGCAGGGCCCCTCCCTCTTTACATGGCAAGAGTTCCTGCCAGACTTTCCGGTAGGAGGAAGGAGGCTCCGCACCCCTGCAGCAGGTTCTCTGAGCGCCCTTCCTGAGAGAGGCCCTGAGCCTGACGGCAGCTTTGCTGGATCCGGGGCAGATCACTTCCCTCTTCAAGACTCAGTTTCCCCTTTTGTAAAATGGGCATGATGGTAATTGCCCCTCAGTACTGGGAGGGTTCCGTGCGAGCGTGGGTGAGAAGTAGAGGGCAGAAACGGGTGGCTGGTGGGCTGACTCGGGCCCTCAGACAAACTGCCTTAGGTGTCAGCATTTCCAAGTTAAAGTAGCCCTTCTGGCTTGCCTTGGCAATCATCACCTGTCCAGCATGGAAGCCATCTGCAGCGTGGCGGCAGCAGCGACGCTCCCCACCCCCCTCAGGCAGGGTCCACAGTGAAGTTCCCCACCTCACTGGTTTATGGTCCTTGCCTGCCGTTGACCTTGGCACCCTCATAGGAGGGTCTGCTCACAGGGCCTGGCGAGGAGTAAGTCCTCACTCTCTCTTAGAGGATTTGGGCGAAACAAGCCCCCGAGGAACCGAGCCTTGTGCCCAGCTGTCCCCTGGACCGATAAGAAACCGAGGCCACAGAGGGCGGAGGCCTTGTCTCCAGCCGCCTCTGGGGACCACAGGGAAACTGGAGGCTGCAGAGGGGCAGGGACTTGACCCGGGCTGCCCAGTAACTCACGGGCAGAGGCGAGAAGCAGGCCCAGGTCGCTGGCCGAGGCCGAGAGGGCTCAAGGGCTGGCCTATCCCTTGACCTGTCTCCCCACCCCCACCCCAGATCCGGACCCTGCGTCTGAAGATCCTGGCGGAGGCGGCGGCGGAAGGAGTCCCGGTGCGCGGCGCGCGGAACCAGCTGCGCATGTACCTGACCATGGCGGTGGCCACCGCGCAGCCTCTGCTCATGTACTGGCTCACCTTCCGCCTGGTGCGGTGAGGGCCGCTCCGACCACCGGGAAACCTCCCCGCCGCAGCCCCTGGCGGCCACCGTGTGCCGCTGCAACTCATCTCGTGTCCGCGCGCCAGCCGCAGGCCTCACGGTGCGGCCGGCGGGCCTCCCCCTTCCCCTCTCGCCAAGGTGCTGAGATCTCCGCTGCACAGCCGCGGTCCGGAGAGCGGCCGCCGTTACCGAAACAATAAACCCTGTTGGGCACTCGCGTGACAGCCTCTCCTTGGCCCTACGCCTGCTGGGCAGAAGGCCGGCCTCCCGGCAGGGGACAGGGCCAGCCTGCGACTGAGCGGGGACGGGGCGGGGCAGGAACCCAGCACAGCGCTGTCACCCAGAAGCAGGACGGTTTAATGAGCACCCTCCCAGGCACAGTCAGTGAGGGGCGTCCTTGCCCTTCTTTTTCTTCTCCGCCTTCTTCCCCTTCTCCGCCTTCTTCCCCTTCTCCTCCTTCTTCTTCTTCACCTTGGGCTTCTTGGCCTGGCCTGGGGCACTTGCCTGCAGGTGTGACCCCGTGGCATGGAGCTGCCGCCAGAGACAGCGAGGGAGAGAAGGAGAGACATGGGTCCTCCTGCGAAGCGCCCAGGTGCCGGGCTGGACGTGGGCGGAGCCCGCGTACCGCCCCAGCCCGGGGACCCCAGCCCTCACTTGGGCGCACGGCACACGCTTGGGAGGGGCGCGCCTTACCTTCCCTTCCGTGTCTGAGTCGCTGGAGCTGCTGCTGCTGCTGCTGGAGTCAGAAGAGCTGCCGTGGTCGTGCTGGTGGGGGGGCTGCAGTGAGGCTTGGGCCCCCCTACTCAGGCCCCCCAAGGCAGGCCCGCGCCTCCACCCCGCGCATGTGCCCGATCAGGTGCTGACTCACCCTGGGATTAGCAGCTGCTCCTGCCATTGATGGGCCGTGCACGTTGTGGGGACTGTGTTTGGGTTTCTCCCCCTGGCCTGCCCCGTCGGGTTTCTTGGAAGTGGACTCCAGGGCTGCAGCAAAAAGAGAAGTTTGGGGGGGGGGTTTGCTGCAGGCGGCAGGGAGCGGCCCTCGGTGGCAGCCCCTGTGCCTGAGTCTGGCCCCCTGCAACTCAAGCCCCTTTACCGCCCCCCCCCCCCAGGAGCGCACCTGCGGACAGATCGAACTCCATGGTGGGGAGAGAAAAGTGTCCCCAGAGGGCCAGGAGGGCCTGGGCAATGCTGGAGCCCGCACAGGGTGGGGCTGCGGGACCTACCCGCCCTAGGAATTCTGAGGAGCTCCACCCCAGCCTTTGTCCCAAGTCCTGAGCCCTGACTCACCGCCCCGCCTCAGCAACTTTTCCTCTCTCCGGAGGGAGGGTAGGCAGTAGACTGCTTCCCCTATGAGCTTTGGCCGGTGAAGGGGGCTCCGTGGGTAGGGTCGTAAAGGACAAGGTGTGAGGGGAACTGCAGATTTCTGGGGAGAGGGGCTAGAGCTGTCATCAGTTTCCCCCAAAAGGGTCCGATGCACTGAGAGGGAGGGGAGGGCCCCGTGTCCTGTGTACCCTAGTCATAGTACTCACTGTATGCTGACTGCTTGCTGCCTGCCAGGCTCCCCGTTTAGGGCTTCGTGTATATTCACTGTAACAAACCCTCAGGCTTGGTGAGCAGCCGAGTTTGGAGGGGTAAAGAGCGTGGACTTGGCCAGCCTGCTGAATCTGAAGCCCAGCTGTATCTCTTAGCGGATAGGTGACCTTGGGGAAGTTGCTGCACCCCTCTGTGCCTCAGTTTCCTGATGTGTAAAGTGGAATGATGATAGGTACCACATGGGGCTAATGTGAGGCTCGGATGGACTCGTTCCTTAGAACACCTAGCACAGAGTAACTGCTTTCTAAAATAATTTTTAAAATCATCATAATAAAAGGTGAGTATTGTTACTATGGAGCCCTCGTGGCGCAGTGGTTAAGAGCTCGGCTGCTACCCAAAAGGTCGGCAGTTCGAATTCCCCAGCTGCTCCTTGGAAACCCTATGGAGCAGTTCTACTCCGAACTATAGGGTCGCTAGGAGTCGGAATTGACTTGACGGCAACGGGCTTTTTTTTTTATTGTTACTATCCCTATTTTGCAGATGTGGAAACTGAGGGACCAAGCAGTTAGGTTAACTGAGGTTCAAACAGCATGAATAGACTAGAACTGGGGTTCAAATAAGAGTCTAAGACTCAGCCTGTCCCCTCGTCTCAACCTGGGGGGGCTGTCAGCAGAAGGGGCAGCCAGCCGAACCAGCCCTCCCTCCCCACAGTGCGCTGGGTCCGGGTCAGACGGGAAGAGCTGGGCGCCTGCGCTACTGCTCCCGCGGCTGTGGGATAGGTGTCCTGGTGTGTCACACCAGCAGCTAGGCTGTCCGTACCTGCAGGGAGTGGCAGGCAAGGGCTGAGGCCTGGGGACGATGCTGTAACGCCATTCACATCTTCGCTTCACTCAGGTACCCCTCCGCTCAGGTGGCCCTCCTCAGGGAGTCCCCACCACTCCATCCGCTTCCGCGGCTGTATGTCGGTCACAGCACTTACCATAACCGGAAGTTATGTGAAGCGTCATTCATTCCTTCAGCACAGACTTACTGAGTACCTACTGCGGGCCTGGCACAGATCTAGGGGCATGAACTTGGAACCAACCTGATGAATCTGGGCTACTGAAGTGAACAAAACACGAAAGTGCCACAGGGGCATAGCGAGGGTAACAAGCACCCAGGGGCAATCTCTAAGTTACCCCCACCTCCAATTTCAAGATGAATAGACGTTGATAGCAGCGACGCATCGGCAGAAACGCCTTCCCCCCCCACTTCTGTCCAGCTGCCTCAGTCAGGAGCCTTTCATATTTGTGGTGCCTCAGAATGTCATTCTGCACCTCGTCTGGCGCCCCCCTGGACTTATGCCCCCACCTCGTTATGCCTCTGAAGTGCCAGCCTCATGGAAGTGGCATTCTGGTGGGGGAGATAAGCCATAAACAGGATAAAATATATAGTATGTTAGGGAAAAACGAAACGCTAGAAAGAAAGTAAATACCGCCAAACTAAAGGACAAAATGTAGCAGTATATCCATACAGTGGAATACTACTCAGCAATAAAAAAGGAATGAACTCCTGATTCAAGCTACATCATGGATGAACCTCAAACATATTATGCTAGGTAACAGAAGCCAGACACAAGGGACAACATAGTGTGTGATTCCATGTATATGAAATGTCCAGGAAAGACAAACTGATAGAGAACTAGATTAGTGGTTGCCAGGGGCTGGAAGTGGAAATGGGGATTAACTGCAAAATGGGCAGGAGGGATCTTATTAGGGGGCTGAAAATGTTCTAAAGCTAATTTACGGTGATGGTTGCGCTACTTGGTAAAATTATTAAAAATCATTGTACACTTAAAATGGGTGAATATCATATAACTTACACCGCAATAAAAACTTTTTTTAAAAAATGGTAAGTACTAAGGAGAGAAATATAGCAGGAAAAGGGAATAAGTAATATCTATGCAGCAGTCAAGAAATCAAACGACCTATTGCATTGGGCAAATCTGCTGCAAAAGACCTCTTTAAAATATTAAAAAGCAAAGATGTCACTGTGAGGACTAAGGTGCGCCTGACCCAAGTCATGGTGTTCTCAGCTGCCTCATGTGCAAGTGAAAGCTGGACCATGAATCAGGAAGACTGAAGAAGAACTGATGCCTTTGAATTGTGGTGTTGGCGAAGAATGTTGAATATACCATGAACTTCCAGAAGAAGGAACAAATCTGCCTTGGAAGAAGTTCAATGAGAATGGTCCTTAGAAGCAAGGATGGTGAGACTACGTCTCACATACTTTGGACATGGTGTCAGGAGGGATCAGTCCTTGGAGAAGGACATCATGCTTGGTAAAGCAGAGAGTCAGTGAAAAAGAGGAAGACCTTCAACGAGATGGATTGACACAATGGCTCCAACAATGGGCTCAAGCATAGCAACAATTGTGAGGATGGCGCAGGACCGGGCAGGGTTTCCTTCTGTTGTACATGGGGTCGCTATGAGTTGGAGCCAACCTGACGGCACCTAACAACAACAACATGCAGGGCAAATTAGTTTCTCATTCAAAAATTCATACACAAATTTTTACGTGACATTGGTTGCAATTCCCGCAATGTGTCGGTACTCTCCCCCTTTCCACCCCGGGTTCCCTGTTTCCGTTTGTCCAGTTTTCCTGTCCCTTCCTGCCTTCTCGTCTTTGCTTTTGGACAAGTGTTGCCCATTTGATCTCGTATACTTGATTGCTCTAAGAAGCACTTTCTTCCTGTATGTTATTGTTTTATAGGCCTGTCTAATCTCTGGTTGAAAGGTGAAGTTTGGGAGTGGCTTTTAGGAGGGTTTCCAGGGGTCATAGTCTCAGGGATTCCCTTCCGTCTCTGTCAGACCAGTAAGTCTTGTCTTTTCTGTGAATTTGAATTTTGTTCTACATTTTTCTCCTGCTCTGTCCAGAACCCTCTATTGTGATCCCTGTCAGAGCGGGGTGGTAGCCAGGCACCATCTCGTTCTTTTGGGCTCAGGCTGGTGGCGGCTGTGGTTCATGTGGTCCATTAATCTTTGTACTCATATTTTCTGTGTGTCTTTAGTTTTCTTCATTTGTCTTTGCTCCAGACGGGATGGGACCAATAGATGTATCTTAGATGGCTGCTTGCAAGCTTTTAAGACCCCAGACGCTACTCACCAAAGTAGGATGCAGAACATTTTCTTTATGAACTATGTTATGCCAATTGACCTAGATGTCCCCTGAGACCATGGTCCCCAGCCCTCAGCCCAGTAACTCGGTCCGTCGAGGTGTTTGGATGTGTCTAGGAAGTTTCTGACTGTGCCCCTTTTATCTTCTATTATATCTGAATGTACATGCTGTACATACAAATATGTATTAAAAATATCCATAGCCTAACCTACATATGTACGTAGGTAGACTCCTCTACACCCTCCTCCTCCTGTTCAGCGTACATATCTGCCTATGTATCTGCTTGTAAGTTATTATTTGTTTTTATGTTATTGTAGGGTTGTGTATGCTACTGTACCAGTACAAGGCTATAGTATTTACTGCGGTTGCCTTCTTTTTTTTCCTTCTTGTGTTAGTCTAAGTGTCTTCCTTTACCATGGTCAGGTTGTGCCGATGTCTCCTATATTGTTGTCTGTTTTTCCCTTCACCAAATTTAACACTTGTTTACTATCTAGTGAGTTCCCCTCCCCTGCCTCGTAATCATCAAAGATTGTTTTTTTCTGTGTGTACACCTTGAGTTTTTATAGTAGTGGTATCATACAGTATTTGTCCTTTTGTGATTCACTTATTTCACTCAGCATAATGTGCTCCAGATTCATCCATGTTGTAAGATACTTCGCGGATTCATCATTGGTTTTTATCATTGTGTAGTATTCCATTGTGTGTATGTACCATAATTTGCTTATCCATTCATCTGTTGATGGGCTCTTAGGTTGTTTCCATCTTTTTGCTATTGTGAATAGAGCTGCAATGAATATGGGTGTGTATGTCTATTTGTGTGATGGCTCTTATTTCTCTAGGATATATTCTGTCACAGCGGCGACGGTTGTTGGGATGGCAGAGACAGTAACCAAACACAACTCTTACAGAGAAGTGGGGCCAGGAGGGTCACTCTGAGGAGTCGACCCCGGCTTCAGTCCCAGGAGTTTATTTATAGTCAATACAGCAAGCAGTGAAGCAAATAACAGAACAATGGGCTTTGGGTGAGTAACAATAAGTTTCGGGCAAGGGAGAAGGAATTCAGGTAAACAAGCCAATCAGTAATGGGACAATATGTTTGGGAAAACAAGTCGTACCTAATCTCCTCCTCATCGCTGACAAGTCTCAACATGTCCTGTGCAGCATAGAGGCCTTTGAGGGGCTGAAGTTGTCAATAGTGTAGCCATGTTTAAATGGCATATATCCCCACAATATTCCTAGGAGTGGGATTGCTGGATCATATAGTTTTCTATTTCTAGCTTTTTAAGGAAGCACCATATCATTTTCCATGGTGGTTGTACCATTTTACATTCCCACCGGCACTGTATGAGAGTTCCAATCTCCCCACAACCTTGCCAGCGTTTGTTTTCTGAATATTTGATCAGTGCCATTCTTGCAGGAGTGAGATGGTATCTCACCGTGGTTTTGATTG